GGTTATTAAACATTCCGGACAACATGTAGATTCGCCGTGAGATATCCTCACTCTGGATGTTCGTGGTTTTCCTCGATCACTCGAGCTGGAACTACACCCTTCTCCTCCCAAAACCTTTCCTACTTACAATTCTTTTATAATCTCCTCATCTCATACTGTCCTGTACATATTTCTGCAACACTGTTAAAGAGAATTAAAACAAATAGCTAAAAGTAAGACGGAATGATGGAGGCAACACGGGCCTCCGAAACGTCGGTGAACTTCTAAGACATTACACGGCGCTACAATCAAGAAGTTAAAACGTCTGTGTTCATAAATAATTACAAATGTGGATACAGTTATAACGCCTAACACCGCTTGAACAGGGTGTGGTCCCAGGGACAACTTACAGACAGCCAGCCAGCTACTTCTATGATGCTATATTCAACCGGTCTGGGGCTGTTTATACTAAGCCAGTCGTCGTGAGACAGTATACAAGATGGCTGCCACGTTGTGATCCATCCGCCGCCCCGATTATCAAAGTCTAGTCCGGCCTTTAATTTAGGTTAGGTTTTGCAGGTGCGATATGTTTCTGAAAGACCCTGAACGAAATGAAACGTTGCACTTACTTTGATGTGGTGGAAATCTGGCCCGATGCTGCCTTGAAGAAGGTGTATTAGACGCCGCACTTCTGTTATTCACTTCAAACCACGAAACTATTAGTCATTCTTCACAACACACGCGCATGACAACTGCGACTTGAAACCATGACGCGTTCCGGGTTTGTTGTTGCACGTGATCAAAGTTCCCACGCTCTTCACAACCGCACATTATATATTTCTGTTACTCCAAGCACAATCCATTCTTTGAAGCTGCGACTGCAGTCCATAGCGGAACGACACACGACTGAAACTTGCAGAGTTCTCGAGTTGTGTAGTATCGATACCAAACTCTGCCCTCTTCGATTTGTGTAGTATCGATACCAAACTCTGCCCTCTTCGATTTGTGTAGTATCGATACCAAACTCTGCCCTCTAACGGTGATTTGTTACGTGATGTTTCAATGACAATTTTATTTACGTCCGGCACCGACGGCCCTCCGAGGTACACGTGCTGTATTACGTCATCTCTCTAGCTCCCTTATTCCGCGTTCGGACATTGGCCCCTACTGAAGGACAGGTGGTGGGTAAATATTTTATTTTGAAGTGACCGCGAGACAGAGAATGAGATTGTGAAGGCATGCGCAGTGGATTACACTATAACTCCAGATGTGTTCTTGACGGCAGAAATCTAGGTTTTTCAGTCCAGCGAAGGCTAGACCAAGGACAGGAAAGGTGACGAGAGCCGTGCCGACGTACTTTCGCACTGCGTAACAAAACGCATACTTGTAAAGTATAATTAATAGCAAAGCTGGAAAAGTATTCGTTTTGCCCACAATTAAAAGCTTAACACCAGAGCACGCAATGTACGTTCGTTCCCTTATGGCTCAACTGATGGCAAAGATTTCCCTGCGTCTTTGAAGTTGGTGTAGGAACTCGATCAAAAGAAACAGAGTCGCTCATGAAAGGAAAAGCCCCCCCCCCCTTTCCTAGAATGAAAATAATGACCTCAAAAAACTGTTGTTTCCGTTTAACTCACAAATGACAACATTTGTTTTGGGATATCACACCACAAGAGAGTTTGGCGGGGATTGGCAAAGCTGGCAGCCTTCGAAGGATGGTTATGTTAGTCGAACAAGCGTTTGAAGATGCCTGTGCCTGTAACTACTTACTGACCGAGATTAATTTGTCCAAATAAATTCTGCTGCTCTCGCAGAAGACACAGGAAGTCGCTATCATCCAATTTATTAATTATAAACGTTGGATAAATGTCGGAGAAGAGAGGAAATGCTGAAAAATCCTCATCAAAATGCGAGTTGCACTTCTCGAAAGTTTTAGCGACGCCCGGAATTCGGCTGATTCTTTCCAACGGCGCCTGAGGGCCACTGGATCGGAGGATTAGTGGACGGTCGTTGGGGAGGCAAATGACGGCTTTGCTACGGAAATAGAACCGGAATCACAAGTTTAAAACTGGATGCAACGTGAAAGTTGCTTTTCAACTCTCCCTGCTCTGAGTCTCCAGGCATTCATATTGTTTGCAGCAGATGGACATATGAGGTGCGATCGGAAAGTTTCAAGACTGTGTCAATAGCGGGCGAACCGGATGTAGTACGAGCTTCTGCCGCTAGGGGGTGCGGCCTACATTCATAGTGAATCGGTGTGCCAGCCGGCATCATTTGTTTCTTAGTTACGGGCGTTTTGGTAGTGCATTACACCGACCCTCCTGCGATTTCGGAATGGCGTGTGCATCAAATTTTGCCAAAGACTCGCCAAAACGGCTACAGAAACCTATGAAATGCTAAAGCAAGCATTTGGGGAGTCCGCAAACTTTTGTGTGGCATTCACGTTTTAAAAAGGGCCGGCCGAACCTCTGTCGATGATGACGAGCGTTCTGGACGACCATCTTCGAGCACAACGCCCGAAAAAGTTACGAAGATCGACGTCGTACCATCAACGACTAATGCGACATTGTTGGGATAGGCTATGGGACCTGTCAGCTGATTCTAAAGGAAGAACTCCACATGCGACGCATCAAGACAACGCGCCAGCGCACACCGCCCTCAAAGTTCGACAGTTTTTGGCCTCAAACACCATGGCCGTCATCCCGCACCCTCCTTATTCACCGGATTTAGCTCCGTGTGACTTCTTCCTCTTCCCAAAGATGAAAATTCAGCTAAAGGGAAGGAGATTTGAGACGATAGAAGAGATTCAGGCAGAATCGCAGATGGTGCTTGACAGGCTGACAAAGAAAGATTTCCAGGGATGCTTCCAGGCTTGGCAGCGGCGCTGGGATCGTTGTGTTCACTCCCAGGGGAACTACTTCGAGGGTGATGGATGAAATTAATACCTGAGATAAGTGTACGGATTTTTATAGGCGCAGTCTTGAAACTTTCCGATCGCACCTCATAAATCCCGTATTAAAGATGTATCACAAGTATGAATTTATATTTTTATTGCCTGCAGATTTCCTGTCCAAGTCTCTGCTAATTTAGTGCGATTTCATACATAACATTGCTACATACATGTCATTAACCTCAACAGTAATTACAATAGTTGTAATTTAAGACTGTCACAACACATTATTTTAATAGGCATTTTACACTTTACAGAGTTGAATTACACAACATCCCTGCGGATATGTAGTTAATGGAATTAATATATAATGCAACATACAAACAGGTGATTAATGAAAACACTAACAAAATAATACTGGAGATGCAAACGACGAGAACTTTCTGCCATAAACAGCAATTAAGCCTCGACAGAGTTAACAGGAGGAATTACCAGCGATGTCACTGCTGACGGCGACTCTGGGAGAAACTGTAAAGATACATCGACACTGTATCATTGTGCGGTTTAAGTCTATGGCCGCCGTGGTCTAATTTGCAGTGAATTAATCGCAATGTGTTCCGGAAAACCACGGAGCAGATTCCTTCTAGGTAAGGACACCTAGACAAAATATTCCCTGCTTTCAATGCGATCGTAACATTGACCACCATATTTAAAAAGTTCTGACCTCTTGTGCTATCTGTGGCCTACATGAATCCCGTCAAAATCCGCCCTCTCTAACATTTATTTTAATATTATCTTCCCTTTTCCGATGAAAATATTTTGTGAACTTCTCACCTTCCTCATGTGTGCTATATTCCCCACCCATCTCACACTCATTTCATAAAATAACACTGGGAAGTATAAACCGCCCCGCGAGACACAGAGTTCACGCACGACCATAAAATATGCGTTCAGCGATAATAAAAAGTAATAATAGGTGAGCATAACTAATTCTTATTAATATAATATACTGGGATACTGGGATCGACCCGTTCTTCAAGTGCCTGAGCACTGCGGGTCCCATCTGTTAAGTTGGCTTGATCTATAGACATTTGGTAGGACTCCTTGGATGAGGGATCGGCCCGTCGCAAGGCCTCTACCTGTACACAGGACAACGCGGACAAACATCCATGGCTTGAGTGGGATTCGAACCCACGGTTCCAGTGACCAAGCGACACAAGGCCCACGCCTCAGACACTGCAGACCCCAATATAATATTGTATCTTGAAATAATCTGCTGTCCTCGCTCCATCGCAGCCCCTGAGAATTCACCTTGAATAATTACCCTCCAGTACTACAGTGTATAATTTTACAATTGATATAACGTCATTAAATGACGTATGAAATAAAATCTCTTGGGGCTCTAATCTTAGCGAAACTAAGGAGACAAGGACAGACTGACGGAAGTTGATTATGAAGATCTGGCCGCTCCAGAAACCGTCTCCTTCTGGATACGCTAGTTTTGCCGATTTCCAGCAATTGCAGACAAGGTAACGAAGCTCAGGAGATCCATACAAAGCGGGATATATTGTGTTCGTTTGCCAAATCAAGGAGCTATGAGGTGCAGAATCTTGTGACATTTTAAAAGAATTTCTGGTTCGACGAAACCAAACCTAGCCATCAAGTTCACAACAAGCTGGTCAGCACAGATTTTTACACTCTGCTGCTGAAAGATCTGTTCAAATTTTCATCCACAGACGTGCAAATTGGCCAATTGTCTGTTGTAAGACTTTCGCTCCCTTCATGCGTGCTAAATGTCTCGCTCACTTTCTGATTCTTGATTTAGGTCACCGTATGGAAAAAATTATTATACTACGTAATTTCCTTAGTAGTTCATAAATTTTACCAGTGGATTTTCGTTACAATAAGTAACTGATTCACTCTTAGACCGAGGACTTAATAAATAAGATCTAGTCTTAAGTACCGTCCAGCGGACATTTTGCAGCGAATGAATTTCTTCTTACCTTCGATCTCTCTTCCCCATCGTGGCAATGAAGGCTGTGGGTCCACCAGCTGAAGGATGTCTGGTTTTTCGGAACAGTGAGAAGAAACAACTGTGTACAATACACGCCATGTCAGTTTACAAGAGGAACAGCAAAGCAAATCAGCATTACGACACACACAATGACTGCCTATTAACCTGGATTTTCGTTTCTTAATGTTGTCGTTCTTTTCAATCTAAATTCAAGAACGTATCAAAAAAAGCCACTTTAAATGACAGTGATTTTTAAAATGCGTCCCTTGGGGTCCGCGGATTAATTAATCCAATTCTGAATTTCTGAATTCATTATCAAAATTACGCATTCAGAACCTACACATGCTTAAATTCTGTATAAAGTTCCCAAACACAAAAAATGCAGAGTTCTTCCTGACTGCGAAATATTTTCTTTGGATTCCTGAAAATGAAAACTGTCGCGTTATGTCCGTATATTGTCCAAAAGTTATATTTAACTTCATTTGTATTTTATTTTCCTCTAGGGCAGCGTTTCTCAACCTATGGTACGCGTGCCAATGTTGAGTGGTAGGAGAACTAAGTAAGAAAATGAAAAGATGATATTAACATAAATACGTTTTCCCTCAACAAATTTGGTTAGTGTTAACATTTAGTGTGTTAAATTAGAATTAATGTTACGCCGGCGAAAAAGGGTGAGGACCCGTGGTCTAGGGCAAACCTGCAAAAGCATTCTTGTCTTCGTGGAACAAATTTTTCACATTTTCTATCTGCTGCTCTGTGAACAGGAGAGAAACGTCGGAGGCGACTTATTTGCAAAACCCGAAGTTACACACCGAGTCCTAGGGAACTCACCTTGATCGCCATGAACATCCAAGCCGAAAGCGTGAGAGAGAGAGAGAGAACACAGTTCTGTTAGCTTCGTGTAACCTGCCTTCACGTGTCTCAAATACAAGGTGCGATCGGAAAGTTTCAAGACTGTGTCAATAGCGGGCGAACCGGATGTAGTACGAGCTTCTGCCGC